GAGATGTGTATACGAGACAGGTTCTTACATGAGGCCAGAATCCACTGTAACGAATTAAATTGTCAAACAATTTAATATTTTTAATGCTAATAAGCATCTATAAGAATCCCCTTTTTTAAACCTGTGAATAAATTTATAAATTTTTTAAATGTTCATAAAAAAGAGAATTCATATGTTTGTGCATCTTGAAATTAATATCATCTATACGTTTTCGTGAAAAAATAATCTCGAAATCATTAATATTTATGAAATAATCTTATTTTATTATTTAATTGTTTTCAATACAATTTATTTTTCCATACACCATTGTTTAAAAAAATAAAAAGAGTATATGATAAAAGAAAAAAGTAATTCTCTCCATACCTTGTTAGCATTACATAATTATGCATAAGTAACTATATATTTCTATACTAAATAAAAAAGTAGTTATTTAGAAATATGTAGATAAAAAGGTAGAGAGAATATATAGAGAGAAATAAGGTAAATGTTGTACAAACTTAAAAATATTTTTTTAAAGTTTCTTCCATGCTTAATGGTTCAGTAGACGGAGAGAATCTTTCCACCGGTTTACCTTCCTTGTTTATAATAAATTTAGTAAAATTCCATTTAATATCGTTAGTAAGGAGTCCTTCTTTCTGGGTCTTCAACCACTTCCATAGCGGATGGGCAGTCTCTCCGTTTACATTAATCTTCTCAAACATGTCAAAAGTAACATTGTACTGCTTCACAAAGTTTAGTATTTCCTCGGAAGTGCCCGGTTCCTGACCAGCAAATTGATTAGAAGGAAACGCAAGAATTCGCAAGCCTTCCTTCTCACTATATTTATTATATAACTGCTGGAGTTGCTTGTAATTGGTATCTGTTAAGCCACAGTTGCTGGCAACGTTAACAATAATGAGAACATGGTCACGATATTTCTCCAATGGGACATTCTTGCCCAAAATATCGTTTGCATGGAAGTCATAAACCGAGGTAGCTGATTGCCAGTCGCTGTCTTGATTAAACTCCGATGATGTGGGACATTGAGTGCCTTTATCCTTGCAATCTTCTGCAATGATTTCCGAGATGGCAAGAAGCAGGAATATTGCGGCAATTCCTATAAATAATATGATACATTAATATCTATTATATAAAAGATAGTTTTTCTTAATTGTACTTTCAATGTTAATCTTTTTTTTTATTTATCTTTCAAGGAAAAATATAACAAATTGCATAAAATATCATGACACAAGATATGTAAAAACAGATCATATTTTTGTAATAGTTAAAGGAAATTGCAAAATAATTTCTTTCGTATACTTATATTATTAAGAATATTGGTTTGAATCAAATGGATAATAATTTTATTGATTTTATACTTATGTACAATATTTGTTTTATGTTAAAAATTTCTTCTCATTGATATATGTTACATTTATATATCTTTATGTATGTTTTATGTTAAATATAGAGAGTAGATATGAATATAACTAAGAAATACAAATTTAAAAAGCAATGTTTTTTCAGACTTTTTATTGTTCACACAGTTTTTACAACAATAGCAATGGAAACATTTAAGATTTTATGTTATTATAATTATATATTATTGTGTGGCAATTATTCTTTCACAGAGAAGAAAAGGATTCATCATTTATGATTAATTTAACCAAAACCTATTTTAAATATAGATAAATATTATAAAAAATATAATCGAATTTTCCTGAAAAATCTTTTTAAGAAACAATTTTTTTGTTTCTTTATTTTTTATTCGTAGACAATGTAGAAAACAAAAGCCGGCCGCTATTTCTTATCAGACATTGGAAATATTATGTATGAACGATTAGTTGGGAAGATCCAGATTAATTTCTAAAAAGGTGATTCTTGATTTTCTTTAAATATGATATATACTCACGTAGCATCTTCGATTGCCGAAGATAACAGTTCCGAAGTGAGGGCCGAAAATGTACGTATAATAATTATAGGTATATTTTAATGTTGTAATAAAGTGAAAACGTTTTATTGTACGTATTATGAAAAGTGACACGTATACAACTCGATACGATAACACATTTGGATGATCACTGCGAGTGACACGCAAAACAACTTTATTGGATTATAAAATCGCCAGCGTTCGACGACGAAAATATATATACCTAGCTTGCAAACTCTTTGTCAATAACTACCATTTTTATTTCTTGGAACCTTGAAGACACACTGACCTCTATCCTTGAAATACGTATCACAGCCAATCACAGCAAATCCAGGTTTTAAAGTCCTCATATACGGTGTTTCATAAGTTCAGTATAGAAAATATTTAACAAACAAAATAAAACTTTTATTTATATAATCTGTTTAATATTTCTACTATTATTCTCAATATATAAAATTTCTAATTAAAAAGCGATTAATGGTCATATACATATATAAATGGTATTATATACATTAATAATGCGGCGGTTTACTAGATTGGTTTTATGAGACATCCTATACTTCCAATAACCAGTGTTCATTGCGCCATCTAGAAGTAAATATTCATTCAAATAAAACTACAATATCAAAATGGCGCCAGTCCGCTCAATTTAAATGTATGTATATATGTATACATATACATATATCATACTGCATACATACATACATACATCAGCCTGTGTTGTAAATAAATATTACAGCCTTGTAATTAGAAATATATATCAAAGATAAATGATAAAGCATATATATAATTCAGAACATTTGTTACCAATTATTGCATATATTTTTTAAATTTATATTTTCCAAAAATACAATTTCGAAAAATAATAGAGTATTATATATAAATAAATTTGTCATTAAATGTTTTATTATATAATTTTTGAAATTCTGAGGAATAAAAGATATAGGTGAAAATATTAAAAAATCTAAATGTACAATTATGAAATATATATTAATCTTGATTAAAAAATTTTCATATTTTTAAGAATTTATTTTAAATTTATTAAACATTTAAAACATTCTTTAAAATTGTTCAGATTTTCAAATATTTAGAAATTGATAAATAAGAAATTTTTGAGCGATATATTATTTATAAGTTTGGTTTTAATTTCATTAAGATCATCTTAATTAAGTAATGTCTTAAGATTACATCTTAAAATTGTATAAAATAATATGTATTTTAAATAAAGTTAAATATAAGAATCAATTTTAATTGAATACTTTAGAATATTTTAAAATTCACATAATATGTATGTACATATAAAGAGTTCTTTAAAAAAAATACGATATATCTACATACATATATCCGGGAAAAAATTTTTCATATAAGAACATATATAAACATATATTAAAATATATAATTATATATAATTATACTTAATTAAATGCGAAATATGTCCATACATATCCATATACATACATATATATATACGTGCGTGCGTGCATGCGTGTATATGCTATTACTTTTTCAAGTTTTCTGAAGTATTCCATTTGTATAAAAAAATCTGATAAGTGTTATAAAATTTTTTAAAATTATATGAGAAATTCTAGGAAAAATTTTTACCAGAAAATATATAAAACATTTTTTCTCGCAATTTTGCTCATATTAATCTTAAATTATCTTTAAAAGATTATTTTGATCTCTAAATAAGCGAAAAAACATTTATAAGGAAAACTTATTTTTAATTAACTGTTTTTAAAATAATTCGAGTCGACATATTATATCATCAATATCCGTGTGTTTTATATCCTAGATAGACTGCAGTCAATAAAAATGCAAGAGGAAACTTATACAAATAATTGATTCATTCTAAAAAAAGAATTTTTATTTACAAATCAAAGTGTAATCATCTACGCCTTATGCATATTGGGACGCATCGCCCAGACACACAAAGCAGATATTGATGCCTTTCCATGTGGACTGGGTCTTACCAACCGCAGTGTTACATAATGCACATAAATAAATAAAATGAGAAGAGAGATTTCTTGGAGAACTGAATATGATCGAACGAGTTTTAAACCTCCGGCAAAGATAATTAATCGCTTCTTCCCAGCACATTGACATTGAACCGTCGATCTTCCTCGTCCGTGACGTGTGGGATTTCCAATTGGTTTCGTCGCTGTATTATATATGTCATTATACATTTATTTATATATATATTTTGGTTAAAATATAACAATTTAGTCAGTGTACGTACATTATGGATATATCGTTGATCGGTTTACTATCCCTAAATTAAATAGTAAATGTTTTACTATTTTATCTCTTGCAATACTTTTAACAATCAAATAATATTGATGCCTATTCTAATCCTGTTTTTGCGCACCTTCTCTACATATTACGACATACATCATTAGTCTTTTCTCCCACACGTTACGCATTTCGAAGAACTCAGGATCTGAGAATTCTCGTTGCATGTGCAAACTACAGATTCAAGGAAAGTTTCTTTAAAAACAATGTTATAAAACCAGGAAAATACATATCTTGTAATATTTGAATCTGCATATACGTAACATAATTCTTTATATCAAAAGGCATTTAAAACCTTTTTTCTCAATTTTTTATTAATAATTAAGATATTTTCTTCTTAAATTGTAATATTTTTGCAAAATTGTATTTGACAAAAATTATATGTATGTACAACTCACAAGAATATAAAAAAATTCATTTTATCTTGTTTTTTATTTTATATATATATATATATATATACATAAAAAATAATAATAAAATATAATATAAAGTTCAGTTAGTGTACATACATTATGGATATATTGTTCGGTTTACTGTCTCAAAATGTTTTACTGTTTTATCCCTTGCAATACTTTTAACAATCAAATAATACTGATGATCCATTCTAATCCTATTTTTGCGCACCTTCTCTATATATTATTACGACATACGACATTAGTCCGATCAGCAATGTGCGTTTTCTTCATCGAGTTATTCAACATTGAAGCAAAAATGGTCATTTTTACTTCAATGTTGAATAACTCGGTGGAAAAAAAATCGGACATTGCTGATCGGGTACTGATATTAAACTCGCGTTTGCGCACGTGCACTCGCGGAGCAAGTTTCAAACATGAAACGACGCAGGCATAGAGGCGGTCGTAAAGGCTTAAACATAATGAAAAAGAACAGGCAACAGAAAATAAGAATTTCAACCTACCAAAAACCGTATGGAATACACGGTTGTTAATAGATAGAAATTCTTATTCTTTGCAAAGAAAATTCTTATTCTCTTTTTATTTTTGTCTGCTCCTTATTCCCTTTTATTGTGTTAATTAACACTGTAAATAAATGATAAAAAGGAAACATTTGTTCCTTCAGGCTCCACCAAACAGTGGCTCGATGTATTATAATTACAAAGGCTTTCACAGTATCTATCTTCTTAGAATAAGCGATGCATCGTCTTGTTTCACAATAGTCGATTGCACATTGAACATTGGAGCCGAAGGCAGGCACAGTGACGGAGTATTTTACAATAGCGAAATTGGCAAACGTTTCGAAGCTAATTCATTTAAACTGCCGAAGCCAAAGCAAATCGAAATTGGCGGACCAGCATTGCCTTATATATTTTAGTAGCTAATGAAGCCTTTCAACTTTCAATGTACATAATGTGGTCATATCCAAGAAGTGGAAAACTAGATATTGGAAGAAAAGTCTTCAATTATAGGCTCAGCCGAGCAAGGCGCGTTGTGGAGAGCGCTTTTGGAATTCTAGTCACACAATGGAGGATATATCAAAGGCCAATTATAGCAAATGTTATGAACGTATAAAAATTTGTACAAGCAATATTAGCGTTACACAACTTTATTATTAAAAATGAACGCTTTCGAATGCTGTAAGTCACATTTGTATACGATTTTTAATTTGGTCGAAAAATGCCTCGGAAATATTAGACAATTATTAATGCCAGTGATGACTGGACGCATTATTGAGGTAATTGCATCGAAGTCCTCAACAAGTAGAACGTATATATGTTTGAAAATTTTTTAAATAAATTTTTTTATAAATTAACCCGACTACGCTCTTACTTAATAGACTGTAAAATCAAAATATAATAATACCTTAAAGACGAGTCTAAAGTTAGGCTCTATGATAAATGTAGATTTATTTTGACAATTTTTGATCTTTTTATAAGGTTTTGAGAAATTACAAAAAATATTAGAAAAAAAATATTTGAAAAATATAGGTGAGAAATCTGTGCTATCTGAGATTCAATTTCTTTAGACGATACATTATATAAATTAACAATTGTCCTGCTTGTTATATCCTGGAACGACGTACTGAGGACGTGTAATAACGACATTCTCACGACTATGGATGTACATACTAAGAACGTCCACTGGACGTAAAAGAGCGGTACTTTGTACGTCCAAATTACGTCTATCGGACGTCTTTGGGACAATTTTAGTATGTCCTTGGGACGTCCATGCATGTCGAGTGGTACGTCGTAAGGATGTTTTTTGGACGTCCAAGTGTAGGTAGGTTCTTCTCAATTCGACGATTTTTCATAGAGTTACCGCTATTGAAAGATATTAAAAATTTGAGCTAAAATTTAGTGGCCCGGTTTTTTGCGGGTGAGTGTATAAACAAAATATCAATAAAAAAATTAATTCAAAAAAAATTCATACTGGACAGAAAAGATAACAGGTAAATATATCTCCTGAAAATTTTATAAGAATGTTGCGCAATTACTGGTTTCAAATTTGTACAAAATTTAAAATTTTTATGTAGCACATCTAATTAGTAATTAATGATCAAAATAATTTTTTTATTAAAAAAAAGCAAAGCTTAATCTTTGATATTGAATCCGTTATTTTGAATTTAAAAATGTTAACTATAAATTTAAAATCAGAAGTGTAAAAAAACCCTTACGTATAAAATTTTAATTACAATCAGTTAAATTTTTAAAAAATTTGGTCTGCATATTAAATCTGCTATTTCGATTTTTTAAATTTTGACTTTAAATTTGTAATCAGTTGTAATCATCCTAAAAAACCACATATACTAAAATTTAGCAAAATATATTCAAAAAAGTTTGTACAATAAAAAGTTTAAGGCGCTAAGTATCAATTTCCGTTAAATATTGTTAATGATTATAATAATAGTTGTAAAATAATAATAATAGTACAAATAATAAGATTGGAAGGCGCCATTGTAATTTTGTTAGAATAAACAAATATTTTTTAAATTTAAAAATACGATTTTTTTTTCATTTTAATTTAATTATTAGAAATTAAACAGCATTCTACAAAACTGATTCTTAACTGAGATCCCTATAACCACTCACTACTACGTCAGATTGTAACATCAGAAGCAAGAAAACACAAAATGCTTGTGAAATATGTTCAAATAGAAATATTTTTTCCATAAAATAATAGCATTTGCAATTGATAAAATAGACTTATAAAATCTATTTAAACTATTTTTTTGTTTCAGAGCAAAATTAAATCATTTATTTTTATAAATATTTTTATTAATTTGAAAGTTGTCTATATATTCGGAATTGATTTGGCGTTTGTTATGCATACTTCATTTGCATAAGATGTATGATTATTTATTAATTAATAAAATAAAAGGAGATATATATATATATATATATATTTTACAAATCAATTCTATTTATTGTTTTATTAAAACATTTCCATTTTAATATATTTTACAAGAATTTTTATTGTGTAAAATTGTGACATCAGAAGTAAGAACTTTTCTTGCTTCTGATGTCACAATCTGAGATAATATTAGTGGTGAGTGAACAGTAGCTTTAAGACGTTGCTGGACACGAGTTATTTAACAAAAAATTCAGTGTTTCAGTATGACCAGATCTATAATATCTTTACCCTTTTAAATCGCCACTTTCCGGAAACACTGTACAATATACCGAAAATATATTTCTGTTTTACTATACTGAAAAATACAAAAGCACCCATACTTTTACGATGTATTAGGATTTAGTTTTGAGGGTTTTACAAACTATGGCATTATTTAATGTCAATATTGTCGAAAACATTCCAATCACAACTATTATTTCTTAATATTACTCTGTGATATTTAGTCATTTACTAACAATTTAGATGCATGTTTGTACAAACTTAAAAATGGAGCTTCCTAAAGAGCATTTTTTATTTCATGTTACATTATCAGTGAAGCAAATGCTATTAGAGCTGAAATGGGAAGTCTTACCGCACCTCGCGTATTCTCCAGAATCATTGCATCTGATTATCACTTGTTCCGATCGACGCAACGAAGCTCTAAAGAATACACACTTTCATAATTTCGAAGTGCAAAAATTTGTTAAATATTGGTTCAACTCTAAAGAATTAAGAATCTTTTTATCGTCGCGAAATCCATCTTTTGTCAGAAAAATGAAATAAGTTATAGAAAACAAAAGGAAAGATATTGATTAAGATATTTGTATAATAAATTAGTTTCTGAGAAAAAACCCTCAAAATTAAATCATACTCCTAATACCTACAAGGTGTAAATAGGTACTATTGATACGAAAAATCGACGTTTCTCAAGTTTCAATATTTGTCAAGCATCCTGATGTATGATATTCGTTTCTGACATTCTTGCACCTAATCTTCTTTCAATGAAAATCGATGAAATTGACATATTAAAAACAATGGCGGTGATGTAGTTTAAAGAACTGACCCCTGAACTCAATAAGCAAAATGTTGACAGTACACAATTTGCCAACAGATTCAAATAGAATATTGCAGCGGATTCATCAACTGACAGCAGATAATAATAATAATAATATGACAACAGATTACGGAAATCGAGCAAAACAAACTGAAGTAAAAAACTTAATTAAACATATGAATAAGCCATTTCTCAAGTATGAGTACATCTAATGATTGTCTATAGGTGTGTTTCGTTTCATGCATGATGCGCATAATATATTATTTTATCCTGGTTTAACATCGGCAAAGAACAAGAATGAAATGATATATCATGCGCGTCATGCATGAAACGGAATGCACCCTATACAAATCTGCATTCATACATATTTATAATGTATCACGGTACACATACATGTGACAATGTGTCCATCTGTTCGTGATTAGAAGCATCGACATCTATCTTAAATCCTTTCACCAAACGAGCGCTTCTCTCTATTAAAAGCATGAGTATTTCTTTTTTTTTTTCAAACACGCGATATCGCCGTTACTGCTACTTAAATTTGAATTTTAAAATGTAGAGTTAAGCTATATGGTTTCCATCTTGCTCACACGATTATACCGAGATTAATACCTAAAGTTATTTGTGCGTTTAGTAAATACGTCGTATTCTAATGCGTGCCCTGTTGTTCACAATCGCTCGCAGCAAGTATTATTGGCTTCGCGCGAGAAGTTCAAGTCTCGCTTAATTCGATGTCAATTAAATTTAATTTTAATATCTTCGAGTATTCTCGCTCGCTTCACGTAATAACCCGAAAGAATTAAGTATCAGGGGAACATTATTGGCAGTGCCGTATTTTGTATCTTGTTTTTTTTTTAGATAAGTGGTTCTCAACCCTTTCAGCACCTGGAATACTATATTAAATATTCACTATTTAATCCATTGAGTGAACTTCACCTGTACAAGATTGCAAAATTAGGCGTCGCATAAAATAATTAAGCGTCATGTAAAACAACTTGCTATTCTACATTCTAAAAGAAATGTAAAATGGAAATTCTTTGGATACATTTTTATAACTTATTTTATAATCTCTAATTGTCATATCATCAGATAGATGTTTTACTTACAGAATAAAATTAACAATTAAAAATTAATTAAATGAAATTGAATTGTTTATCAGTGAAATTAAAACAATACAATAAAAACAAATAAGTTTAATTAACGTACAAAAGATATGTTGTGATGTCCATTTATAAATGATAATTTGAGATATCCTAAATACAAAAATATAAATTCAATTTCATAGAGTGATTGAACTACAAAAAATACTAAAACATATCAATTATTTCAAGTTATATTTTCATATGAAGTGTTCAGTATATCCAGAATAAAATATAATTTGCATTTGAAATTCGTATTTATATGATTTTTGTGTTATGTAATATTTGCGAAGGGGGTTATAAACTTTGCCGTGGAATAAAACAAAATTTCATAGAAAAAAAACAAACATTCTTTTAATGATATATATCATATACTTAACGATATATAATCTTTAATAATTTAAAAATATACCTTTTAAAAGTCTCACAAATTTTCCAAAGTCTCAGATATCATCATTTCAATACTACTTTTTATTGCGATGAAGATTAAACAATCATCGATACAGCCTGGATAGTAAATTGCATGTCAAAATATAATTTACTATAAGCTGAAATAATGTTTTCTATAAGAAATCTATATACATAATTTGTAGTAAAAAATAATTAAAATATTTAAAATTGTATGATCAGATTACATTATAATAGATACGCAAGTTTTCGAAACATCCTACATCTTAAAATTGAATAATATCTTAGTTCTTATTAAAATTCACTTATATATCTTGCTTCTAATCGCCTCTCGTTTACTCTAAAATGGTCTATGAGATAATACGATTGAGAACCACCGGACCCAAACAGTCTATATTTTATCACACCCCTCCCTGTGCAAATGCGAAATTTACGATAGACCGAAGAGATGATCTCAGCGATTAGGCTCCGTGACTTCGTTGAACAGCGGCGTCAACGAATCCATATCTTGCAGGCCATCAAAATTACCAAGAGGATCCAGATCGTCCGTCTCTGTGTCGGCTTCTCCGAGAAAACTGGCTTCCAAAAGATCAGCGACATTCCTGCAGAGACTGCTGGAAGAAGCGGCTACGGCAGTGACATCGACATCAGTGCCGGCCGTGGCGCAGGTCACGGAGGTGTTTGTTGCGTCGCCCTGTAAACTGAGAGAATTAAGAATGGGACTGGACAATATTGGCTCGCCTGGATCTTGATACACCTCCTGAGACTGTATTGTGTGCAGAGGTGTCGACGGGTACGATCTGGAGCCGTTACTGTCCTCTGTATACGATGTGTACGCGGACACCGGCGCCGGCAGCGGCGTGTTCGGATACGATCGCGATTGCATTATTTTCTGTAACGCGCCACCAGCGTCGAGAATGCTCGACGGATCCAACATATCTTCTTCCGACAGATTTAAATTGGCATTCGGCAAAGCGTCAAGAACAATCGCGTTGTTCAATGTATCTTCCGTAGTCTGTTCAGACAACATTTGCAAATTTGATTGACCATCCTCGTCTAAGATCGTAAGAATGTTATTAATATTTTCGGATGTGATCGACTTGTCCGTCATCAAAAACTGCTGCTCATCCGACATGAAGTTTGTGTCATCCAACAGATACGTGCCCTCTTGTCCGATGGAAGAACCGAAGTCATTGTACTCGCTCGGTACCGGGGTAGGTGCAACGGAACTGCTTGTCGACGGATTAAAGCTCTGACTCTGCACCAATGATAGACATTGCTGCGTAGAAATTGGAGACATTAAGGACATGGGATTCACCATCCTGTGTAACGGTACCGATTGCGATCTATAGTATAATTGCTCGTTACTAATTGGCAAGTGTCTGCCAGCATGAAGAAGCTCCGTGATCTCCTGGTCGGGCAGAGGTGGCTGACCCTTCTGATATATGTTCTTGATCTCTTGTAAATTCTCTTGACTCGGATAATTGATTAGCAATTGTTTCTGAGGTGTCAAGTCCAGAAACGCAGTACATGGTGGTCTCTTCAGAACGACCTACATCAGAGAAACATTTAATAAATACTTTCAAGAAGATAACATATTTTTGCTTGTAAATTATTTTGTACATATGCGCCTTTTTTTTGTAAAGAGAAAAGATTTTTATAATTGTTCTATTTTTAATTTAATTAAATAACAAGAATTGTGCTTTTAGTAAAGTTAAAACGAAGATATATCGACCAAAATAAGCCGATACAACAACAAGCGCAAACATCTGAATGATATAGTGTAATAAAATTATAATACACATTTGCAAAAAAAAACAGCGATATTGGTTTCGACTTGTACTCAGATTTTTTTTTAGTAAAGTATTGACCATTAACACGAATATTGTGAATATTATATTTTGAATACTGTATCGCATAAATATCTGCGTTTGTCGATTGTATATGTAGATTAACTGTATTGACCTATATATATTTAAATTCTTTAGTGTTATTGTTAAAGAAGACTTGAATATGAGTTAAGCTTATTTGTATTGTCAATACTGATTTCGATCTGTACCTCCGACGACTTAGTCGTTGCCACTGTCAGCACTTGCCGCGGGTGTTCCGCTCCGCTCGATGTTGGTACAATAAACGTATCCGTGGTTTTGATGGTATACGGCACGCTGCACGATATGGAGCGAGAAAGCGTCTTTTGACCGCGCGATCTGGAACTGCCGGCTTGCAAGTTACTGCGTGATCTCGGCACTGGTGTATTACGCGGAGATACGAATGGACTTGCGTTCGCCGAGTTTGACTTGGATGCGCGGCCGTTAATGGGAGAATGTGGTCCGGGTGAGATTGGGGTGAAGTTAAATGTTCTACGTCGCGTATTTGGACTCTGTGGCACAGTATTGGCTACACTCGGTGCTGCCGCCTCTTGGACATGCTCGACATTCGTTTCAAAACTGACACGACGTCGCGTACTGCCCGGATTAGGGTGATTTAGAAGTGTCGGGAGTATGAGATTGTGCTTCTGTGCGGGGTCCCGTTTCTCCACGGCAACGTTTTGCCGAACGACAGTCACGGGTGTCAAATCAGCAATAACGGGATTTGCTTTCAAATTCTGTTGCAATATCAATCGCAGTTGCGACACCTTGTCCTGAGTCTCGTTAGCTTCGACGTCAGAACTAGACGAGCTACTTTGAAAATACTGTAACAACTCCTCCTCCTGCTCCTGTGAATTACTCCCGCCGTTCATATAGTCCGTGTCGATATCACGGTTCTTCTCGTCTTTGAAGACCGGCTCTTGCAAGAGGCGGATCTGGTCCCTCGTGAGTAGTCCCGAGGATGTCTCCACCATGTTGCCAGTAGTGGAACAACTCTTCAATGAGTCAATATCACAGTTTTTAGCAAGTTGACTATCCGCAGTCTCAACTGCTTTGCACTTGATAGATTTTGAATTGCTAGCTAGTATCACTGATATTTTGCCGGCGCGTTGGATAGACGCTAACTTGGGTAACAAAGCGTTGGAATGCTCCGGATTCTCCTCTGTGAGCTTCGTCTGTTTCTCAGGGCTGGGCTCCTGTTGTGCTATAATTGGATTATTGGCACGTTTCCTGGAATTTTTACCTTTGACATCGCGCTGAGCATTCAACATTACTCTAGGGTTGCTATTACTCTGTCTGTCATCGCGCGATTGTACCACTAGGTTATCACAGTTAGACTCTTGGGAGACATTGCAAGTTTGTTGCTGTTGCTGCTGTTGATTGCCAGTTTTCAATACCTTTTTTTGCCGATTATAGACTACCGTAGATAAGTTCAGTTTTGCCAATGAGTTTTGTGCGACCATTGTTGCTGCTATATTTGTACCTTGAGGTGACTGGTTGGACTTGACCTTCTTGCATCCTTTGCTGACATTTCCTTTACTGTCAATAGCTTTTTCTTTGCTCTGTGAAAAAAGAATTACATTCAGGATGCAAAAATATAATTAAACAGTTCTCAGTTAATCGTATTAATTAAAGTAGAAATATTTTATATCCTAACTTTTTTAATACAAAAATTTTATAATATAAAAATATCTGATCATGAGCTTGACAACATATAACCACTGGAAGTTATTCCTTTTTTTTTTTCAATAAAAATTATTTTAAAAAATAGAAATAAAAGCAACAACCTTTAATGGCCTCGACCTTGACATATGTTGCCAAGATCATGATTCCGAACAACATTCAAAAGGTTTTAGGTATTGTTCGGATACTTTGGATAATGCTAATGCCGGCGGTACTGTAACTTTCAAGCTTTATAACTTGAAAAGTGCTTAATAGAAATATATTTTATTAGAGTGTTTTAAAAGTGTCTAACTCTTGAGTTAGGTTAC